ATACATACATACATACATACATACATACATACATACATACATACATAATAAAATGGTGCTCAAAAAAGCAAAAAGCAAGTAAATAATATTATTCAAGCTAATTAGGTATCTGGGAATGAGGAATGGGATGGATCAGATAGCCTTGTAAATAGCATCAACAGCATTAGTGATATTCTAGCTTTTTATTAATTAAATTTGTTCTTTGCAAATTTCATACAAGTACATAGCACATTCTGATTTTCTTATCCCTGAACCTTCTTGTACTCTTTCCCACCACTGCCAATTCCCATACTCCCTACAGGTCCCTTTCCCATATTCATGTCATGTATTGTCTGGTTTTGAGAACCAATGAATTCAACGGAAACCATCTATTTGACTAGGGGTAAGGAATTATCTAATGTAGCCAATAGTTCAGCAAGAAAAGTGTAATGGCTATTATTGGTTGACAACTTGACTACATTTCAAATGAACTAAAACCCAAAAATAAGGCACAATTGTAAGGGATTTTTGGCTAATTCTGAAGTGGGCACAATTTTAAGGGATTTTTGGGTAATTTTGAAGTGGGAAGATCTGCATCTAATCCCTCGATCTTTGAGGAAGGAAGACACAACTTTAATTCAGATCTTGGGGCAAGAGGACATACCTTTAAACCAAACCTTTTGAGCTGGAAAAACTCACCTCTAATCTGTGCCACACCCTCAGCTGGAAGTCTATATAAGAACATGGAAGAAGCTTTTGCTCTCTGCCTGCTTGTTCTTGTCTTGAAAGCTTTCTTTCTGTAGCATTAGAGTCTACTTCTTTGGGATTCCAGGATATACTGAAGACCAGCTGAGACATCCAGCCTCATGGACCGAGCAACTATGGGATTCTTACATTTTCTATTCAAATCCAGCCATTGTTGGATTTGCTGGACCACAGACTATAACCCATCCTAATAAATGTGTGTGTGTGTGTGTGTGTATGTGTGTGTGTGTATGTGTGTGTGTGTGTGTGTGTGTGAGAGAGAGAGAGAGAGAGAGAGAGAGAGAGAGACAGAGAGAGAGAGAGAAAGAGAGAGAGATTCATTCTATAATTTCTGTTACTCTAGATAAGTCTGACTACTACAGAAGAGTAGGTTCCCATGAGCCCTCACACTCCAGGACTATTAATAGACACAGGTTATGGTGTTTGTTTCCTTACATTGCATTTTATACTAAAAGAGATATACATTACAAAAAGTCTTTTGCATGTACTAAATACCTTATATTCTTAGATTTTGTTGAGTTCATGGAAGAATTCAAAGATACAAGAAACAATTACCTAAGACTAAAGGTATACTGCATATCACACACACACATACACAAAGAGAGGGAGGGAGGAAAAAGGAAAGAAAGAGAAGGAAGGAAGGAAGGAAGGAAGGAAGGAAGGAAGGAAGGAAGGAAGGAAAGAGAGAGAGAAAGAGAGAGAAAGGAAGAAAGAAAGGAAGAAAGGAAGGAAGGAAGAGAAAAGAAAGCATGGTTCCTGCTGAGGACGTAACTCAGGGTTAGGGTATTATGTAGTCTGTATGAGACTATGGGTTCCTTCTCCAGCACCACACTTAAACAGGTAAAATAGGTATAATATCCTGTAATCCCTCCTATATAATCTATTCTAAATGCCTTGACCTTGGGACGACATACATTTCAGGTAACCAATTAATAGGGTTTACCCCTTATAAGTTGTCATTTTAAACAAGTGCTGAAATTTAGGAATACTTTATTTATCTTTTTCTCAAAAAAAAACCCTATATTGGAATAGAATCAAAGCTATATACCAATGTGAACTCTTAATTATGGAAGAATGGTATGAATGTATTTAAGCTAGAGCCTTGAGAATTGCATATTGTTCTGTGAGTGCTTGTGGGAATATCTTCCACATTAGCACAATGCTTGTGTGTTGAGAACCACTGGCTTAAAAGGCAACTGGCACTCTCAGCAACACCTTTATCTTACACTTGGACTCTCTAGTAGTTCTTGACACTCAACCCGAACTGGCCAGAGAACATTTGGAAATGCTTTATGCTGCTGCCAGGTTTTGGGGAGTGAGGGGTGATCTGAAACACTATCACAGTGATGCTAATTGTAGTGTCCAAGACAGTCCATCCTGCCCAAGAGACCAATGGCATTCTTACTGAGAATGCTATGTAGATTCTTTTTGCTTAAGCTCTGTTATTGAACACTCTCTAGTTAATCACAAGTAAGCCCTGAGATATATTATTCTCTTAGTCTCTCCAACCTTCTAAATGATGAAACTGCTTGGGAGGTTAGTTACTAGTGACTAAGTTCTTCCACGGTCTTGGGCTTACAGGAGACACTAGACTGGGGATCTCATCACTCCCTCATCCTAAGCAGCTTCTGAATCTAGTGCCTGGCTGGCAGTATATGGCACATCTTCTCAAAGACATCTCCATACTTTTATCTTCCCCCAATGACAGTACTAATGATGAGGCCTGATGTGGAAGCTTACACATGTGTATCCCCGACACCTGAGAAATGGAGCAGGAGGATGGCAAGAGCTATGATAAAAGGTAGGCTGGCCTCCTTAGTTAATGCTGCTTAATTCTGGCCAGCATGCTCAAGAAACCGCTGGAGAGTCCACGAGTAAATGAAGGTGTTGCTGAGAGTGCCAGTGGCCTCTAAAGCCAGTGGTCCTCAACATACACACATCATGCTGATGTGGCAGGTACTCCCAGAAGCACTCACAGGAATATATGCAAGTCCCAGTGCCTTATTTTCTGTGGTGTGCAACTCTATGTCAGAATGTATAAGTAATAATGGTGCAATTCATTGCTTACCTATCATGAGCCAAGGAAATACACAAGTAATGCTTCTTCACTCTGTCTCATTTAGATCTCACAACAGGCCTAAAGGGCAGCAGGCAGCATTATGTAAGGACAGACTAGAGATCCCAGTTCTGATATTTATTAGCTATGCAATCTTAATCAAATCATTTAAGCTTCCCGAATTTAGTGTCATTGCCTATTTAATAGATACAATTGTCCTTACAGAGTTGTGAGAATTAAATTAAGCACACAGATTGATAATTTATAAAGTAAAAGCGATGCAAGTTCTTGCTCCCATTCTGCAAACAGAAGTCACAATTTAAGAGTAGTGGCATTTGCAGAAGGTCAGTT